AGCATGCTTCTACCACCTCTTTTGATTTAGTACCCTTCTACTTCCTCCTGAGAATAGTGCTCTTTCACCCCCTCCTGCGATTAGTACTCTTCCACCTCCTCCTGTGATAAGTATCTCTCTACCCACAAAGATTAGTACCCTTTTACTTCCTCTTGTGAATAGTACTCCTCCACCCCATCGTTTCATTTAGTACTCTCTTACCCTCTCTTGTGATAACTATCCTTCCAATCCCTCTTGTGATTTAGTACTCTTCTAAGCCCTCCTGTAGTTATTATTATTCCACCTCCACCTGTGATAAGTACCCTTCAACCTCCAAAGATTAGTACTCTTCTGCTTCTACATCCTCCTGTGTCTTTCACCCCATTATTTGATTTAGTCCCCTTCTACCCTCTTATATCCCTCCTGTGATTAGTATTATTCCATCTCAACCTGTGATAAGTACCCTTATACCCTTGAAGATTAGTACCCTTCTGTTTCCTCCTGTGAATAGTACTCTTCTGTCCCTTCCTTTGATTTAGTCCTCTTCTACCCTCTCCTGTGATTACTATCCTTCCACACCATCCTTTGATTCAGTCCTCTTCTATCTCCTCCTGTGATTACTAGCCTTCCACTTCCTCCTGTGATTTAGTACTCTTCTACCCCCTCCTGTGAGTAGTAGTATTCTACATCCACCTCTGATAAGTACCCTTCTACTCCCAAAGATGAATAACCTTCTACCCCCTCCTTTGATTAGTAGTATTTTACATCCACCTCTGATAAGTACCCTTCTGCTCCCAAAGATGAATAACCTTCTACCCTCCTCTACCTCCTCCTGTGATTAGTAGTATTCTACATCCACCTCTGATAAGTACTCTTCTACTCCAAAAAGATGAATAACCTTCTACCCTCCTCTACCCCCTCCTGTATTTAGTAGTATTCTACATCCACCTCTGATAAGTACCCTTCTATGAATAACCTTCTACCCTCCTCTACCTCCTCCTGAGATTAATAGTATTCTACATCCACCTCTGATAAGTACCCTTCTACTCCCAAAGATGAATAACCTTCTACCCCCTCCTTTGATTAGTAGTATTCTACATCCACCTCTGATAAGTACCCTTCTACTCCCAAAGATGAATAACCTTCTACCCTCCTCTACCGCCTCCTGTATTTAGTAGTATTCTACATCCACCTCTGATAAGTACCCTTCTATGAATAACCTTCTACCCTCCTCTACCTCCTCCTGTGATTAATAGTATTCTACATCCACCTCTGATAAGTACCCTTCTACTCCCAAAGATGAATAACCTTCTACCCTCCTCTACCTCCTCCTGTGATCAGTAGTATTTCTACATCCACCTCTGATAAGTACCCTTCTACTCCCAAAGATGATTAACCTTCTACCCTTCTACCCTCCTCTACCTCCTCCTGTGATTTTTTTCACCATTCCAGCTCCTTCTGTAAATACTCGTCTTCCCCTTTCTCAGTATGACATGCCAAGAAGAAAAATGTTACCTCTCATGATGTATGGATGGTATCTAAATCAGCATGAATTGTGCTGTCAGTGGATGGGATACAAGATCAGAAATTGAGGGTTGTAACCTGGTACATTTCCATAATAATTGTTCCTCCATGCAACATGAAGAAGAGTTAAAAAATGATTACTGACCATATTTGGTGATTTTTAGTATGTGTATTTTTAATGAGTTAAATTCTACTTTTTGCACAGTTTTGTATGGTAGTAGTGAACATGAAAGCTGTATTTGTGTAGTTCACCTTTAAACAAAACACATGATGTCTAGACAGTGTGAATGGCCCTTTAAAAGCTAAGTTTGGCATTTCCGGATGTGCTCTCACATGTGATATGGTCAGGTTCCACTGTGCCATGAGTCTTCCTCTCCTGCCTCCTCCGCAGCAAGACCGTAAACATAAGCACGCTGAGTAGGAAGTTTCCAGTTTCACAATAACTATAAATGTTGCATCAGACACTATTTACCAACAATCCAAAAAAAGCACTTATTCTTCAGAGAAAAGTAAACCGAATCTGGTATACAAAGCAGTAGTAGTCTATGAGTGGTTTGCTTCTGCATTATTTACTATCAATTTAATGTTGGGTGCTTCCATAACACTGGTTATATATAGTGCATTTTTAATTGTATACATTAGGTTGCCCTAAGGAGTATTAGTTATTACCTACCTGCAGTCTAGCTTCATCTCAGCAAAAGGTGAAAACAGTCTTATTAGACTTATAGTGGAAGTTCACCCTAGAATTATTCTATGAACATTAAACAGCCATATAACACATGTATATTAATAAATTCATTGCGCTGGTTGTCCAGCAATCAGCATTGGAAAACGACCATCCATTTACCAGTGACACCATACAACTCATGGTGTCACTCAGCTCGCCCATGTTATCTATGTCTTGTGATTGCAATATCTGACAGGGAAGCACTTCCTCTGTGCCCTAATGCTGTCAAAGACCTAGATAGCTTAAGGGGGCTTAGTGACACCATGGGGTTAATTTCCTAAAGGCAAATAGGATGTTCACTTTTCAAGGAAAGTTGCAAGGGAATTGGCCCCAGAGCTTAGTGAATAATGTGAAGCCCTGCTGACTTTCATCATGCAATTATGTGCAAGCAGAATTGCATTTTATTTCCTTGCATGTGATTGGGTATTCTTTGCAAAGTCAAACGCCACTGCATTCTCTCAGCTCTGGGGCAAATTCCCTTGCAAAGTTAAAAGCCTACTTGCTATTAATAAATCAACTCTCACAAGTTGGCTGCTGTTTCTGGTAAATAGCCAGCAGTTTTCCAGTGCTGATTGCTGGACAACCTGAACGGAGAACAGATTTCAAACATGGTGCTACACATTTATCACGGAACATGTGTTATATGGCTGTTTAATGTTCTTAGGGCCAGTTCACACCACAAAAACATCCTCCAGATCTGTTCCGGCTGCGATTCTTCATGCAATTTTTTTAAATGATTTTTTGATAGATTCCAGTACATTTTTTATGCTTTTCTTTTATACGTTTGATAAATTCCAGATTCTTTTTTTCCCCCCTTTTCTGGGTCATTTCAATTGTAAAATCTTTCTTTTCATTAAAATGATGCTTTTATTTTGTTATTTACCAAATTGTGCCGCGCTTCACTTAAAAAAGCTCAAAGTAAATAATATATGCATATAAATGACTACTATTTTATCTCAAAGAAATATGAAAATAAAACAAGTGAATCAACCAATATCAGTATCCAAAAACAGTGTCCATATAATTGTCAAAAAAAGGTCCATATATAAACTCCTTAAAACGTGCAAAGCTCTATATAGAATTAAATATCCCATGCCTTTTGTTTGATTTTTTGTGTGAAAAAAACTTGCATTTATTATTATTATTATTATTATTATACAGGATTTATATAGCGCCAAGAGTTTGCTCAGAGCTTTACAATATAATGGGAGACAATACAGCAACAATACAGTTCAATACAAGTGGGTTAGAAGGGCCCTGCTCCTTGGAGCTTACAATTTAGGAGGGAGGGTGCTCCCCCTCTGGTTGTGCTCTCAGGTCAAGTATATGACCAAACCATGAAGTGAGGTCATATAACGCTTGTATCTTTTTAAATGGGGCAAAGTATGGATGGGATGGTATCTTGCTGTTTGGGGTCCTCCTCCACTCAATCAATGGGCTCCCCTTCCATGGTGGTTGATATAGAGGAATGAATCAAATCATAGTGTAGCATCCTTTTAAAACCATTTTATTAATAAAAGTAATGCACTCACATATAATCTGTATATAAACTGCTTTGTGCACAGAATGTGTCCTCCGGATTTTTTTCAGTGGTGAAAAACCTAAAATTGCCAGCTGGTGTCAGTATGGAACCATCGAGCATGGTGACGTCAAAGCCCCTCTTCCAATTAATGCTTTTATTTTGCTTCCTTTTCCTGTTTTTTTTTCACTGTATTGTGGTCTGGTGTGTTTTTGATGCTTTTTACCAGTACAGTTCTGCGCAGGAAAAAAGCAGCATATTCTCCTTTTTTTTTTTAAACTGAAGAGCTCTGGAACGCAGTGTGCTGGTGTGAACTATGCCATTGGAACCCATATAATCTACTTTTCATACTTTTTTGATGCAGAGAAAAAAGCGCTGCACTGTACGTGGTGTGAACCGGCTTAGTGAACCTCCGCTTCACAGTTGACCTATTATCACACTTTTAATGAAATATATAGGCATATGTCAGCATTGCTAAATCACATTCTTATTTTAAATAAAATATTGATCATCCATGAATGAAATCTGCCTCCCTAGCCTAGGTAACTTAGATCACATGGTCTCTGTCTACTAATCATTACTGGACATCATCTGTACTTTTCAATTAGCAGTGAGATAAGAGGATAAATAAGGCTGGCTCCACATACATGTATCATTTCCAAATATGCACAGCAACAAGGTATTTAAAGCAACTCCATCACTATAATAAAGTCCTTCCCACAAAGAAGATATTTTAAACTGGTCCCACTTGCTGCCTGTGACACCATTCTCTGATGTAGTGAACAAAAACCTCCAACTCGAAGAGTCTGTAGAATTCAACACTTCCATTGCTGTATGTTGTGGTTAGACACAATACGGGCAGCACAGTGGCTAAATGGTTAGCACTTCCGCCTGGCAGTACTAGGGTCGTTGGTTCAAATCCCAACCATGGTACCACCTGCCTGGAGTTTGCATCTTCTCCCTGTGGCTGCATGGGTTTACTCCGGTTTCCTCCCCACACTCTAAAGACATGCTGGTAGGTTAACTGGATCCTGTCTAAATTGTCCCTAGTATGTGTATGAATGAATGTGAGTTAGGGACCTTAGATTGTACACCCCTTGAGGGTTAGGGACTGATGTGAATGTACATTATATATGTAAAGCTCTGCGTAATTGATGGCGCTATATAAGTACCTGTAATAAACAAATAGTGATGTTATTCATTTTTCCAAACTACAGTATTCAAATTAAAAATATTTTTTCTTTGTCTTTAACAGATTTTTTTGGCACCCCGCGTCCTTTTCCTTCTCAGCAGCCACCTGCGTGTTTCCAAGAAACCCACTGTTATACCGGCTTCAGTGAGGGAATCAACAGCCAACCACATTCTGCAATTGGTTGTAACAGAGCCTTGCCGGTTAGCCCATAATTCATTTCCATTGTATAATGAGTCTAGGATTAGACTGCTGATTTGAGGTGCAGCTATACTTATGGTGGTCCCTGATGACTGGTTTTGGAAATACTGGTCCGGAAGTATAGATAATGGTCAAGGCTGCATTCTGGCTATGGGGACATTACTCACTGTGCTGGCAAGGTGGTAATCTTAGATAGGATAGCCTCTCCATCAAATGCCCACTATTCTACCCAGAATATATGTTATAGCTCCTAGGCTTTATTGGTTGAACAATGCATTAGAAATGTTTTAAATATGCTTTTCTAATTTGATGCACTTTTTTAGCAGCACTTGCTTATTTTCTCTTTATTATTACATGTACCATTTTTATTTAATTTATTGTCAGACTGAGCTTATAAAAAACATATATCTATGAGCAGTGTGCAAAGTACAGTGACCCATAATAAGCAAGCAAAATTTATTTTTCGGTAAAGCAATTCTGATTGGTTGCTTTGGATAAGTGTACTTTATATATTTGCATTGCTTTGTGTACTTTCTTATAAAATCAGTTTATTTTGCTTTCTCTACGAAGCTTTCCACTTCCTCTCATAGTAACTCGAATATTTCCCTCGCTTCCTCTATATGCTTCTCTTTTGCATTTTGGCGTTTTGCCAGTAATGTGTTTAATTTGTAAGTTTATATCTCAAAGACCCTATGTTTTATTTTTGTATTTTCCTATTTCTTTTTTGCCAGCCTTCCACCTCGTATGTTCCCCGACCAGATCCTTGCTTTCTGAGTACACCGCTGTCAACTGTTTATAACAGTTCTGCAGTACAATGCTCACCATCCAACCCTGAACCCAAACCACTGTCCCATTATCCAGAACCTGCTGATAGATACACCAATGACTCTTACCCACCCACCCCATCTATACCCTTGCAATGTATCTCCTCAAATCTTCCGGTACAGGATCAGGATCTGCTATTTCCATCAGTATCCTGCCCTAAACCTCCATATACTACAGTGACCAGTGAAACCACCATCTTAAATCAAGCTGCACCTCTGACTATACATGCAGATATCTACCCGCTGTACACTGAGCCTCCAACGCACATTGACAATCCTCATATGTTCCCTATGCCAAAAGCTTGTGCAAGAGGTTCAGCCAGCAAAACTAGGAGGCCTTCTGTTGAAGGAGCAACAAGATCTCTCTGTAACATCAGTCAACACTGCATTTCAGGTAATGAGAAGAAATACGAATAAATAATCAATGTGAATGAATGTCCAAAACAGAGCTTAGACTGAATCATATGTGGCCAAAGGGATCGTGGAAGATGCCACAAGGCTGGTGTAGCTGAGCTTATCAGTGGTGTGGTTGTAGGGTGCTTGTGATAATTAATTAGCAACCGTAGTGCTGAATCATGAATGTTATTGCTTCTTCTGGCCCAAGGGATCGTGAAAACTATTGTATGCTTATACATGTAATGATGGTCTTCAGTATAAAAATCTTTTTATTTCATGTTTTTTTTCTACATTTACCTGTTACACATCAAAGTGGCAGTGACAAGAGTTGGGACAAGAGGCTTTCAACAGTCCCTTTATTCACATGGTCTAAATCTTTAAAAAAAAAAAACTGTTGCTGCAAATACTTTAATTAAAATGAAACCCTGGGCAAACAAATCTTGCCTATGGTTTAATATGGCTAGTACATAACGTTCTAATTTTTTTTCTTTCATATATATATATATATATATATACATATATATACATATATATATATTTTTTTTTATTTATTATTATTTTTTATTGAAGCCAGGCACTATGTATGGTTGTTCTGCTCCCAGCAGCTGTTTCGTATTCGTGAACCTATCTGTAGTGCTTGCCTCATATTAATAATGTCTCCAACTCCTTTTGGACAACATGTCCTGCTATACTGGTTTGCTAACATATATTTCATTTTATTTTTACATACACTTTAAGCATCCCTGGTGATTTTTCCCAACCATAGTCACTGTCATGTTTGGTCTACAGGTAAGTACGAAAAAAAAATGTAAATAAAGGCATGCTTAGTTTCCTGTGAATCCCCATATAGTTCATTCTATATTTATAAGGAAACAGCCTTATTTGCTCATGTAATTGATTGGAAAGGAAAATAAATAAATAAACATACCCTACTTACCTGCTCTGTGCAATAGTTTTGTACAGAGCAACCCTTCTAAGGTCTTCTGGGGGGCACTGTACATTCTTTAGGCAAGGAGCCTTTAATAACTTTGGAGGAATACAGTGCACCCTCTAGTGGCTAATCTACAAATCTTCACTTAAAATACAATAATAACAACTGCAAGAGCAAACAAGTAAAATAATTATTATTATTATTTATTATTATTATAATACAGGATTTTTATATAGCGCCAACAGTTTGCGCAGTGCTTTACAATATAAGGGAGACAGTACAATTACAATACATTTCAGTACAGAAGGAACAGGAGGGCGAATAATGAAAGTCATGTTCAAATTACTTTCAGTTAACCACATGCCGCCTAGCCACTGTAGAAATACGGCAGCAGGGTGGCACGGCGCGCTGCCGCCCTACCTGTCCCGCCGATCACAGCCGTGGATGTCAGTTGCCAGGTCACAGCCGGTCGTTACTGGCTATGTCCTGGCGATCGGCGGCAATCGCTGACAGCACAGCTGCAGTAGCTCTGCTCTCTGTCAGTTCCCTGACAGCTCCAGGACACGCTGATCGGGACAGAAGAGTTTCTCTCTCCTGATCAGCGGTGTTCCCTGCAGTACACCCCCCTGGCCCCTAGTAAAAATCTCCCCTCACACAGTTAACCCTTTCCCTGAATAATAATATTAACCCCTTCCTCCCCAGTGCCATTAGTACAGTGTCGGTGTTTTTTTTTATGCACTGATCGCTGTATTGGTGTCACTGGGGATGTCAGTGACCCCAAGTCAGTACCCCCCAATGTCAGAATGTCCGCCGCAGTCCAGCCATAAGTCGCTGATCGCCGCCATAAGTCACTGATCGCCGCCATAAGTCGCTGATCGCAGCCATTATTAGTATAAAAAAAAACTAAAAATCCCAGTATCTTTCCCGCCATTTGTAAATGCTATAACTTTCACGTAAACCAATTAATTTACACGTATTGGGTTTTTTTTATAGCAAAGACATGTCTCAGAATGCATTTTGGCAGAAATTTATGACTAAATTTGATTTTTAATTGTTTTTTTACTGGACATGTTTTATAGCAAAAAGTCCAAAATATTGTTTTTTTTCCTCAAAATTGTCAGCCTTTTTTTTTATAGCGCAAAAAATAAAACCGCACAGGCAATCAAATACCACCGAAAGAAAGCTCAATTTGTGGGAAACAAAGGATGTAAATTTCATTTATGTACCGTTTTGCATGACCGCGCAATTGGCCGTTAAACTAGCGCTGTATAGCAAAAAAATGGCGTAAATTGCAGTATCTATACCATAGTTTATAACTTTCACACAAAGCAATCAATATACATTTATTAGGATTTTTTTTACCCAAAAACATGTAGCAGAATACATTTTGGCCTAAATGTATAACTAACTTTGAGTTTACTATATATTTTTTTATAGCTGAAATTAAAAAATATCGTTTTTCTTCAAAATTTTTGGCCTTTTTTTGTTTATAGCGTGAAAAATAAAAAGCGCACAGGTGATCAAATACCACCAAAAGAAAGCTCTATTTGTGTGAAAAAAAGGACGTAAATTTTGTTTGGGTGCAGCATTGCATGACTGCACAATTATCAGTTGAATTAGTGCAGCGCCGAGTAGCAAAAAGAGGCCTGGTCATTAAGTGGGGTAAATCCTCAGGAGGTCAAGTGGTTAAGTCATGTAATAATATTTATGAGGAAACAGTATATATACAGTGAATTTCTTTGTTGTAAAAACAATCAGGCCATGCCAAGTACTGTTATTAGTATTCTATATTTCTGGGGAACAATTGGAATCTGTGAAAGTTACCACCTTACACGGACTGACCCTTTTAGGGAGGTAATTAAACGTGCAGAAACCTTTATGAGGCAGTCAGATTTCATCTTTCACTGTTCTGTCATTAGTAAAGTGAACTGTGATTGGTTGCAGTAGGTTTAGACTTTGTACATACTCATTGTTCTGTGCACTTTTAAATACACTCTGTAGAGATGAGGCTGGATAATACTCGAGGAATCTATTAGCTATTGTTTTATGCATCATTGAAGCCAGCATCATCATTCCCAGGAGCATTTTCTGAAGATATAAGAATTAATAAAACCAATGCTTTGTTTTATGGATTGTGTATATACAGTACAGTAAAACCATGGTGAATGAAGTGATTATTCTGTTAAACACAAAGGCATGCAGCAGAAACTGTGCTGTCCTGCTTGGACTGCTTGGGCACTACCATGCAGGGAAAATTGAAACATTTAAAATTCATTCAGTTATGGTCATTTGTAGCATGAAAACCTCGATCCTAGAAGATCTTGATAAATGTATCACTTACTTCATAAGTGGTAAATGTATCCCCTAAATTATAACAGCTTTAAAAGGGGATTGAACATAGTAGAAAACCACTTTCCGGTTCCTCCTTTGTGATAATGATATTTCTCTTTCAATACATTTTTATTGAACAGTTTTAAGATAATGATATTATTTCCTTGCCAACAACAGGTAGCATTAATGTGCAGCATTAGTCATCGTAAGTACTATAGCAAGAATTCTGTTATGTATTTTTTATATACTGCATTTATAGTGTTGACATTCTAACATGTTTCAGTCATCGGAGAGCTGAAGAAGGGGGGGATTTTATGGGTCTTTCAGAAGAACATGGAGTGTCTCATCAGGGAGGGGATGCAGGCACCTCACTGGGGAAGGGGAGTACCAATGTAATTCGGTACTGAGGGAAATGCTTATTAATAATCTGATGATCATACTGAAGGTGACAGGCAAAGCTGCAGAGCTGCATATTCTGAATAACAGTGTAATCCTCTGTTTCTATTTTGCAGTGGGTTTGTAAAACACAAAAATTGGCTGAATAGAATTAGAAATATTTTAATAGTTAACCCCCTGTACTAATAGAGCTTCACTGAGTTCCAATCTTTAACTCAATCAATCTTTAACTCAATCAATTACACTAAACGCTAAATGTTCAAGGTTTAGCTAGTAGTTTCATTATATTTGGCATTTATCTTGTAAATATTAAATATATATGTATCTCTGTCTTTTCTTCATCATTTCTCTCCTGTTTTTCAGCATCCAAACCAGACTCTTCTATACAACTCCCATCTTGTGGACCTAACGGACTGAGTAACACGGTAATCACTGCAGTAACTAAATATTTCACTTACTTCTATTTATCTCTACATAATATAACCTTTTATTTCATAACTTTATAAACATTTGTGGTAAAGCAGAATTTCGTAAAAGAGAAGTATGAGGTTTCATTAAAAAAAAATTATACAAACCTTGGATCGATGCTGCATCTAGCCCCTGCTGCTTCCAAGACTGAGAATGGAGCGATCAAAGACCACTGATCACTCAGTTCTCCCCTCCACTCTGAGCAGAGAGCGTGACTGTCAAGTCATCGGCTCTCTTCTCTGTCCCTCCAGAGCTCATTGGGAAAGGTGCGGGAGCAGCTGGCTCAGGCTATCAGTGGCTCATGGAGAGGCTAAACCAGCTGCCGGTCCATGCATCTGGGTGGATTCTGACTTTAAAGTGGTTGTAAAGGCTCAAGGTTTTTTTATCTTCATGAATTCTATACATGAAGGTAAAATAAACTTTCTCTGTGCAGCATCCCCCCCCAGCCCCCCTAATACTCACCTAAGCCCCCCTTGATCCCAGCAATGTGCGCTGGAGTATTGGCTATCCCAGAACTCCCTCTTCTCATTGGCTGAGACAACAGGGAGAGCCATTGGCTCCCGCTAGAAACAATGATAAATGAGACCTTCTCCACTTAAAATTAAAACTACAATAAAGCTGCTATCACCTGACCTGCCTCCACTAGGTAAATGGGGGGAGGTTATTGTTTTTTGTGTATTTTTTCCATCAGTAAAAGGGATCACATTTTTTATTGCTACAGATTTCACCTGTTCACTTTAATGAGCACTTTATTAGATCCAATTGGATCATTACACTGAGTGTTCCTTGTACTGTCACGTGTCACACACATTTATTTGTTTATATGCTTCTATTTATAAGTCACCATTTTTTGTGTTCTTCACCTATTATTTATAGCGCTTCACCATTTTTTCTAACATTGGCTCCCGTTGCTGTCAATCACAGCCAGTGAACCAATGAGAAGAGAGAGGGGGTGGGGCTGAGCCAAAGCTCTGTGTGTGAATGGACACATGGAGTAGCGGCTGGGGAGTGCACATGCTCGGGTGCCCCCATAGCAAGCTGCTTGCTGTGGGGGCACCCAACAGCAGGGAGGGGCCTGAGAAGAGGAGGACCTGGGCTTCTCTGTGAAAAACCACTGCACAGAGCAGGTAAGTATAGACATGTTTGTTATTTAAAAAAAAAGAATTAAGCCTTTAGTATCATTTTAAAGTCAGAGTCTGGATGTCAGCTGACAGCGGTCTTTCTCCCGTTGTTGGCTGAAAATAGGTCACAGGAGTGCAGAACGAACTTCACTTCTCTGATCCATTAGAGAAGTACAGCCAAAAGCTTTGGCTATACTTCTCCTTTAAGGCAGGGTAGCAAAACAACTAATCTATACATAGAATTAATTCCCTTTTTTTTCCATTAAAGCTTGTACCGGCTTTTGAGGATCCATTCTTCCCAACTAAGAATGTTAAAATTTGATAAGTGGAAGAGGTGTAATGCTATGTCTAGGTGAATGTAATAGATGTAGACTGACCGTATGGCATGTAGCAAAATTTGAACATTACAAATTGGACAGACTGGATATTTCAACAGCCTGTACAGATTTAACAAGACAATGGATTTACATAGTTATTTGTGCTTACAAAAGTTACAAAATTATTTTATTGCCCTTCTTTACAGTATCAAACTGTCACTGATGTGGAGTTACAGTACATACACCATACATAAATTTCTGGGCAAATATTTAATAAAATGCTGTTTTAATTTAGGTATTTATTAAAGTATATAAATGCATTTTACATACAATTAGAATCTGGAACTGAATCTGTCTTAGGCCTCATGCACGTTGGGCATTTTTACAGCTGCTGTTTTTGGCTTATAGAGTTTTTTTTACTAGAGCCAGTAAACTCCCCAGCATGTTATCCTTTGTGTCCATGCACACATAGGCTTTCATCAGCATTTTTTGGCAGGGGGTTTTCTGGCTGGAAAAAAACCCTAGAACTATAGTGGGTTCCAAGAAGAGTTTTTTAGTTGTAAAAATGCTCTAACTCTGAAAAACGCTGGAAAACGTTGGAAACCGCAAAATAATGCAGCTATCCTGCGTTTATTAGCATTTTTGAGCCTCAGGCTTTTGTGGGAATATAGCTTTGCTAAAATACGCTAAAAAACGCAAATGCTGGAAACCGCTAATGCAAAAATGCTGACGCGGCATTTCACAGCTGAAGCCTTACAATCAGTCTCCAGTAATTTCCTGCACAGTATCGCTCAGACTGGGAGAGGGAGTTTCTGATTGCATAATGCTTGTAGGTCTAACATGGATATACTTACAGGTTTGGAAAAACACAGGAATGACCACATTAATATTTTACTGCTCTATCTCTTGGCAGTCACTGGGGAGGGGAGGAAGGGTGACTGAGGAACAACATCAACAGCCATTTACTTTTAATCATTCACCAAATGGGTTAATGCCATTGCTGTGATTTCGGGGGCTAAAAGAATTGTGCACTAATATGTGTAAAGTAGGACATATTTATGGTATAAATCAGTGATGCTCAGATTGTTATTTTTGCCTGCAGTTCTGTTTTATGCATATTAAATCTTGGTAATTTTTTTAATGAAAGAGATATTATTTATACAAGATACTTTATAAAACATAATTCCTAGTAAACATTTGATGCTATTAAAGTAGCACTGCTACCCTCAGACTGTGCTGTGAGAAACAATTGTTATTTTTACACCTTTTGTAAGTAAGTCACACACAGTTCTACTTAATCAGTAAAGCAGCAAAACCCGTGGGCAAACTCTAGTAACCTACAGCTACCAGTCATATTGCAACATACTAAAGCCAAAATTCTGACTGATTGTTGTGGATTACGCAGTTTGTACATCACTTTTGGTAAAACTAAATTTGAAAGTGCCATATAAAGATCATTACAGATACATGTGAGCATCTTACTGCAAAAGACACTTGGTTCAGTAAAAGAAGGCAGTTGAGCCGTGGTTTTACTACCCTCCTAAACAAGGGCTTACAGCCACTTAGGGCTGTACATGTGCTGAAGGTTTGCTTTGCAGCCATGGTAAAAATTAAAACCCTTGTTGCATTTAGAACGCAGTACTGCAGCTAAGATCAATCCATTCAGGTGAATGGGGCTGCACTATAACCCTGTGCAATTCGGCACACCATTCAGATACCATTTTTTTGGGTTAAAAGAGGCAGTGAGGAGGTATAATGTCACTTCTTTACCACCTTTCAAAATGGCTTGCAAGGACTGCTGCATGTGAGAACAAGCCTTAAAGTATATGTAAACCCTCACCTTGTAAAACAACCCATACAATTTAAGCACTTGCTCTCCAGAGAATTTACCCCCTTTCCTGACCAGAACATTTTTTTGCCATACGGCGCTGCATTATTTTAACTGACAATTGCGCAGTCATGCAATGCTGCACCCAAATTAAATTTATGTCCCTTTTTTTCACAAATAGAGCTTTCTTTCGGTGGTATTTGATCACCTCTGCGTTTTTTATTTTTTGCACTATAAAAAAAAGACTGACAATTTTGAAAAAAAAAACAATATTTTAGAATTTTTGCTATAAGACATATCCAGTAAAAAAAATGTAAAAATCAAATTTCTGCATAAATTTAGGCCAAAATGTATTCCGCTACATGTCTTTGCTAAAAAAAGTTTACGGTTTACGTGAAAGTTATAGCGTTTACATATGGCGGTATATATATTTTTTAATACAAGTAATGGCGGTGATCAGAGACTTATAGCGAGACTGCGGTGGGCATTCTGACACTGAGGGGGAACTAACTGCCACTGACATTCCCAGTGACACTAATACAGTGATCAGTGCTAATAAAAAGCACTGACACTGTACTAATGACTCTGGGCAGGAAGGGGTTAACATCTGTGCTGTGTGTTTTACTAGGGAAAAATGCTACTGTGTATTTCTCTGCTGTGCAGAGAAGTACACAGCAGCATGTTACTGCTGGCAGGAGAGAGACCTGTGTTGTTTACAACAGTTCTCTCCCCTGTCACTGTTCCTCAGTGATCGCTGGGTGCCGGCGGGGAATCTCCGACTGGGACCCGGTGAACGACATCTGTAGATGCCAATGGCAGGTAGGGCGGCGCACATGCCCCCTACCTGGAAATGCGTGATTTTGTGCAGCCCTGCCGCCCTGTAGCAGTAGTTCTGCTATAGGGCGGCGGGGAAGCAGTTAAAATAGAAATGAAAAGTACAATATGAATATAAGAAAAATGTGTATTCTCAGCTGCATAGAGAGGTGAGGAGGAGAAACAGCAGCACACTGATCTTTCCAATGAATGGCAGAGTGGGTGGGGGGGGGGGAGCACAAGTTTGATCATTGGAGGAAAGCACACTGAGTTCCCAGCATGACCAGAAAACTGACCACGGTGTGTTCTCAGGCTTAGTGTGGTCAGTTTTTATTAGGGACTGGCAGGATCCCCGGGGATTTAACACAAAGGACACTTTCATACAAGTACATGGTACAGTTGGTACATATCAGGAATATGAAATGTTGGGTTTAACTATTCTATAAGGATTTTTATGTAGTAAATCTGCTTACTGCATCTCACACAAGTTACAAGGTTGCTCTGACACAATATCATAATGTAGTGTTGATGATATCCATGTAGGAGCAAATAGCAGGTAGAGTTTGCACACAGTTTTGATGTTCCAGAAATAATAAATAGATTAAATTGTCTGTATTTCTCCCCAGACAGGCAGTAGGTCAGAAGCTATGTCTTTTCCCGGCATTTCTGTTCCACCCATTCCATCTCCCCACACACAAAGTGGCCTTGGTTTTCACTCTCCTCCTCCTGCAATATTCCTTAGTCCTGTTTTATGTAGTTCAAGCAACATCGCAGTTTCTGATAGCACAAACTTGACGGTTCCTCCTCGGCTTCCGAAAACTGAAAGGCTTTCTCCATCATCAGTCTGTAGTAAGTACATAGTCATTGTGTTTTCAACAGCAATTTATACTTTTATTAATTAAGGTACAAATAAATTTATCAGGAGTTATTGTTAGAACACTGACAAAGTCATGGCTACAGTATGCTGCAGCGTCTACTGAGAGGCCTGACCTCTAAAACTAAGAAAAGAACAAGGGTCTCTGAGTAGTAACTGTAAGGCAGTCTATAGTCCTGACTTTTCAGCCGGCTAGCATTGGGGCCCAATAACACCATTGGCATGCTTGATGACAGTCAATAAGGCCTGCAGGCAATAGAGCTATATAAAGTAGCTGTGTAGTCAGTTCATAGGGACTCAGTCGTAATTATAGCAACAAGTCATGGCTGCAAGACCCTCTCACCTAACTGGTTGATACAGTAGCAGTGGTCCCTCTGGTTAGGTGTCTGTTCATTCTGGGTTGCATGGGCTGTAGCACAGCAAAGTCTTTATACTGGCAGTGGCCCCATTCCTCTGCATTCTCTGGTTTCCCCACACAGCAGTGGCTCTCTAGTGGCTCAGTCTCTGTCTCTGGGATGGTCCAGACAGCATGGTCCTCTCACTGCTTCTGTTCACACTGCACTCAGTCCCAGTGAAATTTTGTTGGTCAGATCCTGCTCTCTCCTCCTCTGAGTCAGCAAAGAATCACAGAAGGAACTGAATGGTGAGAGCTTGCTGGCACACTTCTGTCCCCCTCTGCAGCAGCGGTGGGGGGGGGGGGGGGGGTTCTGAGCGGAGAATCCACACAGCCAGCAGGCACCCAGCTACATATATGTTCATAAAATGTTGCAGTCAAAGGATTCCTAATTTGTAGCAATTACAGCTTCACAGACTTTTGACATTCTGTCAGTTACCGAGGATATTTATGGGAAATTCAGTCCATGCCATCTTCTCGATATGTGACTGGCTTGTACAGCATGACTTTTCCCACAAAGCTCACCAGTCCATCAGAGCCAGTTCTCTAGCTTCCAAATAGGTTTTGCATAGCATAGATATTTGCCCCATTCAATGGCTGACCACATCGGATAGTATGAAATTCAAAGTGGTAGGCTTTTGCCATTATTTCTTGTACCTTACCACCATCCAAGCAGTTCTATACAGTCAAATTTCCTCAACTATGCCTGGCCGAAGTCATCAATGAATTCTTCAGCATTTTTTAATTTGCTTTATGTCCCACATATGTTCTCCTTCATCCAAACATGTCAAAATTAGACTGATTCCTACATAATATTGTTTCCAGTCATCATGTTTTTGTTTTTTTGCTTATTTTTCAAGATTTCTGTTTTTTTGCCAGTTTTCCTATATGGTGTTACCTTTAAAACTAACTGAGAGACATTACTCTGGAGAAGGATATTGACTTGATTATGGTCCTGCAAAGCTGCGCTGATCAGCATCCTGTTCCTTTCCCAGCTTGGGCTGGCTGCACACAGTGACCCATGCTGTGATATTCAGAGGAGCAGATCTCTGAAATCAGTAATATCTCATTTCACTGTACATGGTTATTAAAATAATGACAATCAGCTATCTTCACACAAGCCTGTCCATGCTGAATCCTCTCTCACCACTGGGCCCCATAGCAGCTGCCTGGGCTGGTATGACTGTAGTAATGCTCTTGCTCCACAGAGACTTGTTTAGCAGTATGAGTCCTCATGCACACCGGACGTTTTGATGATGCTGGTAACGTTAGCTGTGTTAAGTCACATTAAAAATGTGAGTTTTTCAGCTTTTTTTACCGTTTTTGTATTAGCGTGTAGCGACGTTTTGTCGTGATTAGCAGTGTTTTTCCACATTTCCATTTTATAGTGTTTTTTTTTACCAAAAACGCCGGTTTGCAGAGTTTTACTGCATTTTTCAGCGTTAGAGTGTTTTTGCAGGTAAAAAACTCTTCTAGAACCCACTAGTTCTGGGTTTTTTTCCAGCCAAAAACCGCCCCTGCCAAAAAACGTTGATTACAGTCTATGTGTGCATGGACACATAGTATAACCTGCTGGGGAGTTTACTGGCTGTAGAAAAAAACATCAAAAGCCAAAAACAGCCGCTGTAAAAATGTCCAGTGTGCATGAGGACTTAGCAGGTACAGCTCAAACATATAATTACCATAGGATGCATATTTTTTAAGACCTTACCAAGTATTGCAGGATTACATTTTTTAATGCAATGGTCCCTGAGCAGCATCTTTAAATAAAAAGGCAGCACAGGCTGAAATACTCACCTTCAATATGGAACTGTCAACCCTCATAGTAGGGTGCTCTTTTTGCCATAACATTTTGTCCACATGAATAGCACCCACCGCTACTGAAATCAAAAGACTGAGGACACACCATAAATACAGGGCGTAATAGGACTGCCCCACGAGGGTGCTACACCATGGGACCTTTCATTCTCAATGTATTGATGCAGAGAGTGATCCTCTATCGATGCAAAAGTGATGATGTCAGCATCAAACAAGAAGAGGATCCAGCATGACATTTGACCAGCCTGAAGTCTTCTAAAAAACACATGACAGTGCATGAAAACGCATGTCATAACGCACATGAAAGCATGTAATACTGCAAGCATTTTCAAAGGCAAAGTGTAAATCCAGCCTTAGTATAGTGATGCACACAAAACATAAATGCGTGAAACACTGCTTTTGATTCTTAGATTGTATTATTATGTCAGCATTTGTCATTGTAATATCTGTAAATCCCCAAGGCATTTGTACAAAGCCACATGAACCACTGGCAGAGTAAAATAACCATGATATGACCATGGTTGTTCACAAACAAATAAAGACCATTTAGTTTATCTACATTTACTTGTTTCAGGTGATGATCGCAAAGACACATTAACTGTACCCTGTGCCCAAAATTCTCTTATCTGGAATAAAAGTGACAGCAAAAAGGTGAGTGCAGGAGACTATGGTGGAAGCTTACATGGTTCACGGACAATCACATCTGTGCAATCTTCATGTTTTTATAAGTCTGCCCCACTTACAGACTTCATTGAACATTTTTTGTTGCAAATCTACCAAGATCTTTTTGATAATTTTTATTTAGTGGGTAGATTTGGATGAGGTTTATATATAACTCACAGTACTGATTGTTTATATTTTCATTGATCATTTCTAGCATTGCATACTGTATATTAGGCAGCTTGTCTACAGCAGAAACCTGTACAAATCACACTTACCTTTCTAACAGGAATATGGACCTTGTTGCCACAAAGAGACTCCTCACAGAGCAACATGCTTGCTGCAAATACTGCCAATAGGCAACCACTCAGTAACTGAGCAGAGCTACAGATTTTTGGAATTACCATAGCACAGACAGTTAAAGTAGTTGTAAAGGCTTAAGGTTTTAAACTTTCTGTGTGCAGCAGCCCCCCCCCTAAAAGTTACTTGAACCCCATCCAAATCCATCGATGTGCATGAGAGTATTGGCTCTCCCCGGTCTCTCCCTCCTTATTGGCTGATACATCAGCTGTAGTTATTGGCTCCCTCTACTGTCAATCACAGCCAGCGAGCCAATGAGAGCTGGGCCAAGCAGCGATCCATGCATGAATGAACACACAAAGCAGTGGTTTGGGAGCAAGCATGCTCAGAAGCCCCCATAGCAAACTGCTTGCTGTGGGGGCACTTGGCAGGAGGGAGGGGCCTGTAGGGTCGGTGAGGAACCCAAGAAGAGGAGGAATCAGGGCTGCTGTGTGCAAAAACCATTACACAGAGCAGATAAGCATGACATGTTTGTTATATTAAAGAAACAGGCCTTTAATATCACTCTATATTATTGCATTTAATTTTTTTTTTCTAGAAATAAATATTTAGGAGAGTGATTCTGCAGCTATTTACAAAGCATTGCTACAGAATGTATGCAGAATTTTAAATAGTAGTTGCTTGACCCCCTCTATCCCATTATTCAAAGAAAAACTATCTTATGTAATTCATATGGACTGGGTGGAGACCTCCTTACAAGAAGAAACACAGGTTCATAAATTATTTGACATTTGGGAATCTTATGAACACACAAAAAGCTACAGCACAATGCTTTTGATACACTCAGTGGTATCAAACTAGATTCATGATATAATGACTCTCTAGTTGAAATCCCATTTCCAACCTAAATCACACCCTGCAATTCAATGAGCAAGACTACATATATTGCTGAATACAAATTTGCTTGCCACCCACATTATTATTATTATTATACAGTATTTATAAAGCGCCAACAGTTCGCTCAGCGCTGTACATTACAAAGGGGGACAATACATGAGACAGTACAATAACAATACAATGCGATACACGAGGGGTTCGAGGACCCTGCTCCTTGGAGCTTACAATCTAGGAGGAGGGACGGGATAGTGGTACAGGAGGAAATGGCTGTGGGGGATGGAGTGGTAGGAAGAGTGGAGGAGGGCGGCAATAGCAGGGGGTGGGGTAGGCTTCCCTGAAGAGATGGGTTTTCAGTGTGCGCCTAAAGGAGAGGAGAGTAGGTAATAGTCTGATGGATTGGGGTAGGGAGTTCCAGAGGATGGGTGACACCCTGGAGAAGTCCTGGAGGCGGGCATGGGAGGAGGAGACCAGGGAACTAGAGAGAAGGAGGTCTTGTGAGGAGCGGAGAGTGTGTGTTGGGTGGCACTTGGATATTAGGTCGGTGATGTAGTTTGGGGCAGTATGATGGACAGCTTTGTACATTAGTGTTAGGATTTTGAATTTGATCCGTTGGGCAATCGGAAGCCAGTGGAGGGATTGGCAGAGGGGGGTGGCGGAAACAGGGCGGTTGGTAAGGTGGATGAGTCTGGCTGCCGTATTCAGGATCGACTAAAGCGGGGATATCCTGTGGCGGGGCAGGCCAATGAGGAGGGAGTTGCAGTAATTGAGTCGTGATATGATGAGGAAGTGGATGAGCTGCTTAGTGGTTTCTGGGGTTAGGAACGTGCGTATTTTGGCAATGTTGCAGAGGTGGAGTCTGCATGAGTTTGTGAGTGATTGGACTTGGGGGTGGAAGGATAGATTGGAGTCAAGTATGACACCAAGTACTCTGGCCTGCAGGGGCGGGCCTGGTGGTGGCATTGTTGGACGTGATGGAGAAGTCATCCTTAATGTTACCTGCATTCTCATGCAAAATAAACAACAAAAAAGTAATGTCCTTGGATGGCCTTTGTAAATAATATCTGTAATTAGCACATTAATATAACCCTGGACAAGCCTGCTGTACTGCTATCTATGGCTTCCTTGGAGATGTTTCCCCCACTCACTGACCTGGTGTTAACGGTTTCCACTAGACATCAGGGACAAAGACATCAACAAAAAGGTAACAGGAGTTCTACTTTTCCCCTACTCTACTGCAAAAAAAAATTATTTTTTGTCTGTTTTGCTGTGGAGATTTTTTCCTAACTTCCTGTCTGGTGAAAAATCTCTCTAACGGAGCCTTGGATAGCAGATAATACCTGACAGGTTCTAATACTTACCCACTTTATTCAAATTAAAATAAACTGCGTTTGCTACACATATAGGGGCAGATTAACTAAACCTGGTGCACACAGAATCTGGTGCAGCTGTGCATGGTAACCAATCAGCTTCTAGGTGTTATTGTGAAAGCTTAATTGAACAAGCTGAAGTTAGATGCTGATTGGTTATTATGCACAGCTGCACCAGATTCTGTGAGCACCAGGTTTAGTAACTCTCCCCCATACTGTCAGGACCTGGATCACCTGCTGGTGGTACTGTGCTTTTCAGAGTGGGAGATTGTAGTTCTGGTGTCCACCAGTGGGTGACTCCCAGCAGGCAGAAGTTTCCAGTAATTGGGTCTCCACCTGATGCTGGCTGTTTGGAGGGTATTTAGTTCCTCCTCTACTAGTGCCTCTTGTGTCAGTGTTTTGCTTTGCTGCCAGATACTGTTTATCCTGTTTCTGCTCTTGATCATGCTCCTTGCCTTATAGCTTTAGCCTGAATCCTGCTGCCTTGTTCCTACTCCCCTTTGTTCCTGTACTAAGTTTTGGTCCCTGCTTCCTATATGTTCCTTGCACCACCAGTTTTACCTTTCTCTTCTGTGTTCCCGTTTGTATATATTATATATAGTTAGTTTGCTAGTTAGGCTTTCTGTTACTCTTAGGTTGCTTAGTTAGATATTTTGTCACTGGGGTTTTTGGTTCACTTATATCTTTATGTTTCCTTTTTGCTGGTGTTTGGATGGATTTTTTGTTTCACTGTAAATAAATCTTATGTTAAATATATACAGTGGGGATCGAAAGTTTGGGCACCCCAGCTAAAAATTTGTATTAATGTGCATAAAGAAGCCAAGGAAAGATGGAAAAATCTCCAAAAGGCATCAAATTACAGATTAGACATTCTTATAATATGTCAACAAAAGTTAGATTTTATTTCCATCATTTACACTTTCAAAATAACAGAAAACAAAAAAATGGCGTCTGCAAAAGTTTGGGCACCCTGCAGAATTTATAGCATGCACTGCCCCCTTTGCCAAGCTGAGACCTGCCAGTGTCATGGATTGTTCTCAATCATCGTCTGGGAAGACCAGGTGATCTCAATCTCAAAGGTTTTAAATTCCCAGACTCATCTGACCTTGCACCAACAATCAGAACCATGGGTTCTTCTAAGCAGTTGTCTAGAAAACTGAAACTGAAAATAGTTGATGCTCACAAAGCTGGAGAAGGCTATAAGAAGATAGCAAAGCGTTTTCAGATGTCAATATCCTCTGTTCAGAATGTAATTAAGAAATGGCAGTCATCAGGAACAGTGAAGTTAAAGCAAGATCTGGAAGACCAAGAAAAATATCAGACAAACAGCTCGCAGGATTGTGAGAAAAACAATTCAAAACCCACGTTTGACTGCACGATCCCTCCAGAAAGATCTGGCAGACACTGGAGTTGTGGTACACTATTCCACTATAAAGAGATACTTGTACAAATATGGTTTTCATGGAAGAGTCATCAGAAGAAAACCTCTTCTACGTCCTCACCACAAAAATCATCGTTTGAACTTTGCAAATGAACATATAGACAAGCCTGATGCATTTTGGAAACAAGTTCTGTGGACCGATGAGGTTAAAATTGAACTTTTTGGCTGGAATGAGCAAAGGTACGTTTGGAGAAGAAGGGGCACAGAATTTAATGAAAATAAACCTCTGTCCAACTGTTAAGCATGGGGTTGGATCAATCATGCTTTGGGGTTGTGTTGCAGCCAGTGGCACAGGGAACATCTCACGAGTAGAAGGAAAGATGGATTCAATAAAATTTCAGCAAATTTTGGATGGTAACTTGATGCCATCTGTGAAAAAGCTGAAGTTAAAGAGAGGATGGCTTCTACAAATGGATAATGATCCTAAACACACCTCGAAATCCATGGGGGATTACATCAAGAGGCGTAAACTGAAGGTTTTGCCATGGCCTTCACAATCTCCTGACCTCAACATAATTGAAAATCTATGGATAGACCTTAGAAGAGCAGTGCGTGACAGACAGCCCAGAAATCTCAAAGAACTGGAAGACTTTTGTAAGGAAGAATGGGCAAAGATACCTCAAACAAGAATTGAAAGACTCTTGGCTGGCTACAAAAAGCGTTTACAAGCTGTGATACTTGCCAAAGGGGGCAGTACAAGATATTAACTCTGCAAGGTGCCCAAACTTTTGCAGACGCCATTTTTTTGTTTTCTGTTATTTTGAAAGTGTAAATGATGGAAATAAAATCTAACTTTTGTTGACATATTATAAGAATGTCTGATCTGTAATTTGATGCATTTTGGAGATTTTTCCATCTTTCCTTGGCTTCTTTATGCACATTAATACAAATTTTTTTAGCTGGGGTGCCCAAACTTTCGATCCCCACTGTATATGGTTTGGTCCCAGTTTCCTGAGTGTAACTACGCAGATTTTGCCCTCGCTGCTGCTGATTCTTGAAATATACTATAATGACATAAATGTAATATAATGCAGATCATTCATTTTAATGAAAAATGTCATGATGTTCACTTGAGTCTTCAGTGTATATGACATCTGTGTGTCTCTACAGGTTGAGAGCAGACGCATAACACACATCTCTGCTGAACAGAAGAGGCGCTGCAACATTAAACTCGGGTTTGACACTTTGCACAATCTGGTGACAAGTCTGCATGGACAGCACAGTAACAAGGTATTACACAGTGCTCCCAATGCATGCCATGGGGAATAAACAAGGATTATTTTTTTCATTAGCAAGTGTAAAGGGCCCTAATATGAGATAAAACAGTGTCAATGATTTGTATTTTATTTCAACTTAAGTTAAGATTTTGTATCAGATTTTTTCTGTAACACTTGTTGGCTTTATATAAACTGGTAATATACATAAAAATGTTTAAGTGCCTGTGTAGAATCTCACTATCAATAATACAAAGTAATCAATGAGGACTAAGTCTTTAGCAACTACAGGTAATCTGGAATCATTTTGACATGGCACAACAAGTTACTATTAAACATTAGCACTAATAGCTTCTGTATTAAAAAATATATAGCAAAAAATACCTGAAAATGGGGGCTTTTGAGGCACAACATAAGCATAAAAACATGATTCATTTTGTATCAAAATCCATCTGTATTAATTCTGGCTCCAATGGAATGCTCTTCATCTCAATTTTGGGGGAGCCTCTCAGCCTGTTCCCACCCATGCTACAGAATTGGGCTGGTTATCAACCAACACTGATGTTTGGTACATACATGTGCTGCTCATGAAGGTATACCATATGTCAAATAATTCAACTTCTCCACCTGTACATAGGCAGGTACATTTTCTCAGTGGCATTAACATCAGTCAGGAAGGTAAGTCTTGGGCTGGTCAAGACAGAAAGGGTTTCTACCACCAGCTCAAAGTCGTGGGTGCTTTAGCGGAAAGCTGGTATACTGCTTATAGCGAGGCAGTGGGTTTCTCTCTGTAGTGCTTACAAAAATGTTTTAATTAGGAAACTCTTTAAAGGTTTGTAGAGAATAGATGAATAGGAACCACACTCAGATCTTCACTCATCCAAATTCCTTTTTTCAAGCATCAGCAGTATAGCTGCAATCTTGGTGTCTACACCCAAAATAAATCACTACCTCCTTAATGTATTTGACCATAAATCACAAGGATAGGCTATTATTGGCCATGAGTGCAATTATACTTTTGATGCTCTAATGAACGTATTTAGAAGAGTGGAGATTGGAGTGCGGCTTCTATTTATATATTCTCTACGAGGGTGAGCCAGGATGGGCTTCTTTGAGCTGGTACCCTTTTAATCTGTGGACAGGTAAGAGAAGCAGGCCTAAAACAGTGCTGTGGGTTTGGGTGTTTCATCAAGAGTTTAGGTCAAGATGCCAAAAAAAGCTGTTTGGTCCAAGATGTGAAGCAGACAGATATAGAGGTGACATAAACTCATTACGTAAACTGATCTTCACAGCTTAGTAAGGCAACCACCTTGCAGAAGACAGCAGAATACATTTCTAAACTGCAGCAGGAGAGAGCCCAGCTACAGGAAGAAACCCAACGTCTACGTCACCAAGTACAGGAGCTAAGCGATAGCATCAAGTAAGTGTAAAGGCTCATTAATAATATGAGTTAAAATGATTTAAATAATGTTGACTTATTACAAAAGTAGATACTGCTCAACAGATGTATAACAATACCACGTCAGTGTCCTTTTCAGAGTTTTAATTCTTTTTTTTTTAATCTCAACAATTTAACAGAAAGTATTCTGTCACAGCAGGAGATTGTACATCAGCATCTCCTGGCTACTGATCTCTTGAGACACTGGGTTTCATTTACTAAGGGAGAAAAGAATCTTTTACAAAAAATCACTCAAATAAAATGAAAAGGACATACTGTATGTAATACCATTATTTTACAAAATGGCTTGTGTATCAAGCCATGCTCGCAAATTTAAAAAAAGAGGAGGAGCAGAGGAACACTTACGCTTGTATCTTTTTGCTGGGCTGTGCATTGAATGATGTCATTAATCAGAGCCAGACAAAGGAAGTGAGTAGTGTAAAAGCTGGCCATAGATGATACTTTTTTTTTTTGATCAGTCAGTGGGTTGATCAAAAAATCTGAACAGATTCCCTGATCCACACATTTGAAGTGGATGAAGGAATCCTCACTGCTGTGCTATTGTACCCTGATACCAGGACCTCTCCGCTGCCAGAATACACTGATTAGCATGACAGTCAATTGGCTGTATGTTCAAATCGAACATAAATGTTCCATTAGTCCCATTGAAGAGTTGATCACTTTTCATCTCCTTCCAATGGAAGTGGCTATAGATTGATTAAATTCAACCGGTCCACGCTGAACTGGCCGAATATTGATTGATCTATGACCAGCTTAAGGGTTCCTCTACTCTGGCTCTTTGGTTACATGTGACAGCAGCGATTGGCTGAGCTTTCTGTCACTGCGGGTCCATGCTGATAGAAGGTCTGAAAGAGGCACAACTTCACTAAAGGGGCAAACACCGCCACTGTCCCAGAGCGCTGTGACACCCTCCCTGGACCTGTCCTTGCTGGTAACTTTAGTGGAGGTGCCTGTATTGAGTACTGACATGTACAAGCTGGAAAGGGCCCTGAAAAAAAGGATTTGTATTTCTGTTACTCCAGTTTTGAGATTTGAGTCCTGTCTATCAGGTGAAGGGACCTGATCTTTCTCTGCTGCTTTTTCACTTTCACTTACAGCTTTCCTTCCTATCCTGTGACTGGAAAGTGAAAAGATAAGAAACACAATGAGGAGCTCATCTCTCTGTCACTCTGCTCTCTCCTTCTATGCTTCTTGTTTTGCCATACACCTGACTGGCTCCTTTTGTTGTTTTTTTTCTTCCCTTTTTTTGAGCTCTGCCTGTACAGTAGATTGTAAGAGGTTGATACCAAGCCACATTCAGGTACCTACACTGCATGTATTAAAAAAAATACTTTTAACTATGTATGTATGCTGTGCAGTAAAGCATCCACTTTAAAACCACTTTCCCTCCGCCCTATAGCAGTTTAACTGCTACAGGGTGGCATTCCTGTGCAAAATCACACTGGGCGTGCACGCCGCCGGAGGAAATCTCCTGTTGTGAACTGTAACAGCACAAAATGATCTACAAGCACCTACAGATTGTCAGTCAGGGAGGAAGAACAGGGCTGAGGCTATGTTTACATAGCCGTAGCTCTGTGGTGTTAAGAGGCAGCCATGAATCGGGTCTCTGCAGAGCTAAGAACACGATCCATCACTTCCCCTAGTAAAAGCACCACCTAGTGTACACCAAGCACATAGCCAGGCACACACTTAACACTTTGATCACACTAGATGTTAACCCCTTCCCAACCAGTATCATTAGTACAGTGATCTGTGCATATTTTTAGCACTGATTACTGTATTAGTGTCACTAGTTCCCAAAAAGTGTCAGTGTAAAAATGTCCACCACAATATCGCAATGCCACCATTACTAGTATAACAATTTTTTTTTTCAAATTCCAGTATATGTAGCATAGTTTGTAGACATTATAACTTTTGGCAAACTAATCAGTATACAATTATTGGGATTTTTTTAACCAAAAATTTGTAGCAGAATACATTTTGGTTTAAATTTATGAAGAAATTTAATTTTTAAATTTTTTTTATTGTATATGTGTTATAGCAGAAAATACATAATATTGGGTTTTTTTTTAAAAATTGTCAATTTTTTTGTTTATAGCACAAAAAGTAAAAACTGCAGAGGTGATCAAATACCACCAAAAGAAAGCTTTATTTGTGAGGAAAAAAGGATCATCAATTTCATTTGGGTACAGAATTGCATTACTTCGCAATTGTCAGCTAAAGTAACTCGGCACCGTTTTGCAAAAAATGGCCTGGTCAGGAAGGGGGGTAAATCTTCTGGAGGGCAAGTGGTAAACATGGAATCAGCACAATGTTTTGAGTGAGCTACATACACATTCACAGCTGAACAGATACATTTTAACTTTTTCATACAACTTGTAGTGTGTTGTATCACACTTATGAAAAGTAATTGGAAAAAGGAGAAACCCCCTGACACTGGAACTTTAAGGGCATGATGATACCAATTTGTATTTTTTATGACCAGTCAAACACAATCATACTGGGTATCCTTATCATGTAATTTCATTTTCTGATTGTGATGCTTTATTATGGCTTTGTATGATGTATTGTTTTGTATGTCTTTGTGTTATCACCTTTTTTGACAAATAAAATTTGTACTTTTTCAATACTTCTAGTACCTTCTAAGCCCTTAAAGTCTCAGTGTCAGAGGGGTCTCTCCTTTTTCCAATTGTTATATTGGGGATGTTGGCTTATAATCAGGAATTTTTCCCTTTTCCCTTCTTTTCACTTATGGAAAGTAGAGTAATTTTCTGTGTGTTTACTTAACAGCCTGTGCCAGCAGCAGCTACCAGCCTCGGGAGTTCCTGTCACACACCAGCATTTCCAGCATATGCGACAAATGTTTCAGGATTATGTCCAGAGCAGGACGCTGCAGAATTGGAAGTTTTGGCTGGTATCCTTGAACGTATAGTGGAGCTGCTAATACATATTTAGGGCTTCTGTTTGGTGTCTACCAAATATACCACAATGGGAATTGTCAGTGTGTTGTTAATGATATCCATAAAAATCTGCAACTGCGCTAAAGTCAAATTCTACTCACCCTATCTTTCTCTGAGTTTTATAAAATCTAGTTCAGCCAAAATTAGGAAGTTCCACACAGTGCTTCTAAAGCCTAGTACACATGGGCTGAATATTGTTCAGTTCAACAGAAATTGTCTAATATTCGGCCGGTGTGTGCAGCAGCCTGTCCGACAGAATCCAGACGAATATCCAGCTTCTGTAAAATGGGCATACTAGAAAAAAAAATCTACCAATCACCATCTGAGCAGCGCTTGCAGCCAATGGCTGCGAGTGCTGATCAGTGTGTTCTGGTTCTATTTGAGCACAATAGCTCGGTAGGGAGATTGTTGTATTGACATTGCATAGTTAATACAGCAAGGTGCTCCCAAGCCCCCTGGGCTCAATGAAAGAAAAATGTATAGGGCGTTATTTACTAAACCTGAAGATTGCGAAATCTGGTGCAACTCTGCATAGAAACCAATCTGTTTCCAGGTTTTATTGTCAAAGCTTAATTGAACAAGCTGAAGTTAAAAGCTGATTGGCTACCATGCACAGCTGCACCAGATTCTGAGTGCAACAATTTTAATAAATCTATCCCATAGTGTGTACCAGGCATAAAAGGGACTGCAGTATTTTGTGATATAACTGTGCTGTGCAACCTCCAGTGTGCATGACTGAGCATGTAGTAAGATTTGAGATGTACTGGGACTGTGAACACATTGATCTTTGTTTGCAGGGACTCCAATACGTCACCATTTAGAAAATGAAACTATTGTGATTTAGCTAGCGGCTACATCAAGCTCTGATAACACAGTCAGGGTGATCTTACTAATTGGTTACTAAATATAAAATCAGCTGTTATCACTTTACAAATGTGTTGCATAATATCAAGTTCAGAGGTAAAGTTTTCATGAAAAAATGGAGGTTGCCATTGCTGACCCCTTTCTGAAAAGTTTGAAGGTTAAGGTAAATCCAAAGCCCAAACTTTTTTTTTTTTCATTTTCTTTGCCAACTGTGTCTCATTTGACAATTTTCCCTGAAACAAGTGTCCCCATTGAAAGATTTTCCCCTCTATTCCCATTATAGTGGCAACTTATAATTTTGGATTATCTCTTACTCTTAGTCCCGGGGTTAGTGGTCACCGGGCCAAATAGAGAGAGTCAGTCTTAACTTAGATACACATTAAAGAACATATTAAGGCAAAACTTCTCTATGCTAAGAAAGGGTTCACACTTTTTGCTGTCTGTATCTCACTGGGGAGATTTCCCTACACGATCTGTTCTGAAGATGCAGCAGGAACTGAGAGGAAATCTCTCCAAAGTGAATGGAATTCTCCTCTTAGAGAGAGAGAAATTCAAAGATTTTATATGGCGTGAAATATTTGTGTTTTTATTGCAATAAAAACACAAACAAATATTTCACGCCATAAAAAATACCTTGAATAAAGTTTATTGAAAACTCTAGTGGGTAATGACGTGTGTACGGGGATATATGCCAGAGCTAATATGCACATTTCTCAAACAATATATCACTAGGTTTAGAGTCAACCTTTTTCGAATGACAAATCTCCCTTCAATTTATCTTAGAGAGTTGTCATTGGAACATTGGAGGATTTTCCCTCACCTCTTGCTCTGATGAATTCAGAATCTTTGGATTTCGCTTCATCTTCCATCTCAGTGACCGTGGTCAACAGTATAAATGTGGGGGGGGGGAGGAATATCCCCAGCAGGAACACAGACAGCAATAATGCATTGACAAAGGGTCTTCTTTCTCTGTTCTATCCAAAACAAACTATTTGCCTTTACATACACTTTAACTGATCCTCTTTATTGCCTAAACTAAGTTATTAAAGCCAATTCCATAAATTTTAAAGATCTACCCCTTGCAATATTCACACTGCAAGGGTAATTTGCTTTTTATGTCTAGGGGTGCACAGAAAAGTCTGTTTCACTTGCCTTATAACCGGCTACGGCACATTTTTCTTCCACCCTAAGCTCCAGTCTGAGGGTGGCACCACTTTGTAACCACATACAATACAGGGACAGTATTGTACATTTAAGAGACTGAAGTGCGAGTGGATCTGGTCACAGCTTACAGAGAAGCTGCAGTGGGCCAGTTGCAGCACTTGAGGGAGCCTGCTGAAACAAAGAATAATGTAAGTGTTAACTTCTTAATCCTCTACCCCTATACTAAATGAGAAATTAACCCTTGGACGTGAAGGGGGCCTCACTGCAAGGGTGAATTTTTAAACTTTCCTGGAGTTGGGCTTTGAAGATGGGAGCTTTTGGAACAAGTTTTGTTATTTCCTTTGCATTATGCAATTCTCTGGTATCACCAACACTCCACACTTTCCACAGTAATCAATGGCTTACAAGGAACAGGAATCTCCTACTCACATCCTTCTGAAAACCCTAGTTTTCTGAATGCTATGCTGGCCCACTGACTTTAATAGTTTCTGAGTTACTGACCTGGAAGAAATGTTGATTAGTGAGGTTGGAGTAAAGTTGGTGACTCAGAGTGACATAGGGTAGATTTAGACATGCATCTAAATCCAGGTTCGGATCACGCTTTAGAGGCTACTGAAAGGCAATGAGGAAGTGATGTGACTCCTCCTTAGTGTCTGTTTTAACCTCATTTTTGCTGGCAAACACCATGCAACAGAGGTGGAGTGTTTACTAAGCTTCCACATTTGCTTGAGTGTGTAGTGTTCGGCAGGCTTGCCATCCACCAATTGCTACGTCAGGTAAGCTTTGCAGTGGGTGCGAAGTATCGCAACTGTCGCATGTATATATCCCAATCTGCTATGTACTGCAGCTTAAGAGGGAGCGGTTAGTGGGTGGCAAAAATGTAGCTCAACCAAGCATTTTTGCTGTCCCCAGGCATCACTTCTAAATGAAGCCTTAAAGCCAGAGTGTCAGCATAACAGCCAGGCAACCAGCAGTTTCAAAAGAACAAATCAGCATATTGATGGTTCGCTCAGGACAGGTTTTCCTTAAGCATCCTGATGTTTTCTTAGACGTGTATAATGGACTATCACTTTTAGGAGTTCATAAATGTGACTGGAGCACCAGGTTGGTCTGAATGTGAAGAGATGCTCCATCACACAGTTAACAAAGCTCATCAAAAAGAAACAAATTTCTTAGCACACTTACTATCTAGCCTGTAAGTAATCCAAACTCACCCTGTCTAACAATTCACGTTAAAACAGAGGGTTTTGTTGCACACATTTGCAAATATATGTGGAAGCTGCAGTGCCCACGTCAGACTCCTCTGTATACTGCAGTCCAGTCCTGCAGGGAGCCCACCCCTCCTTAAAGGCACAAGGACACATTGGACACCCAACAAGAACACAAGGGCAATATAAGAAATAGAGAAAAAAAGCGCCACAAACTAAATAGAACAAAAGCTGCACTCCTAACCAAAAAAAGTAAAAATGTGAATAAATCAAAGAGTGCGGGGCCCCGTGAGGACGTCGGATGACGAAACTAGTAGGGCGGGGCTTCTTTTGGATGTGACGTCAGGACGCTCCTCGTAGACTGTAGGCTGTGATATCGCGGTGAGCGAGGCTCGTCCCTGCTTTCTTGAGGCTGTCATTGCTGGTGTCGGCTAGACACTCTGTGAGTGCATTTCTGACGTTTTAATAAAACATTTTGGTTTTAAACGTACTGCACCATGATTTCCTTTTTTGATTCCCCAAACATGATCTATGGTATGGAGAACGTGATGACTACCTGCTGTTAAAGGCTATTCCATATTGTGCTGATTGGCTGCTTGCAGTATATTGCTCCCAGTTTGGATTACTTCTGCTGATCATCGCTCCCAGAGCAAACGCTATCTTTGCTGATTTATAATCTGGTCAGCATGGAGCTCTGGTGAGTGTACCCATTTCATTCGGTGGTGGATTTTTTTTTTTTTTTTTTTTTCGCACGGTGTTTGATTTATACAAGATTTCAGAACTGTTTAATTACTTTGTGATGGTGGATGGACTTTTATATAATATTTTTTTATCACGGACATCATTATTTTAAACTAATAATTTTTGTATTTACTTATATTTAGCGCACTCTTTGATTTATTCACAAGAACACAAGGGCAGCCGAAGGCATAAAATGTGACCCCACACCAAATCAGCAAACAAGCTGTATAAAAAGTTGGCTACCACTCCAATTTATAACCAGCCTTTGCAGTAAGGTGCATGTGGAATGGTGACACATATCACAAATAAAAAATTTTCCAGCACACTTACCATCTAGCCTGTAAACAATCCGAACTCACAATGTCTAACAATTCACGTTAAAACAGAGGGTTTCATTGCACACATTTGCAAATATTTGTGTAAGTTGCAGTGTTCACGTCAAGGCTCCTCTGCACAATGGCAGCTAAAGGCATCAATGGCACCAGTTATCAAAATTACCTGCAGCTGAAGTCACATTCGTAAACTTAGTGAGGGGATAGAATTTGCATTCAGGCACATCTAACATTGCAGTTAATACATATAAAATAAAAAATAAAAAAATAAAAGTCATAACCAGAGGTTCTTTATTAAAGCAAACTATATTTTTTACATTTTGATTTTATTAAAATAAAAAATTAAATAGCTCAGGAAGCATAACCGGTATCTCCACATACAATTATGCACAACCTCAGCATTCATCTCTGACCATTTTCAGCATCTTTTGCAGTTTTTTGCCATCTGTGACATGAGGAAACATATGAAATGACCACCTTTTGATTGAAAATTGTATATATACTGTGTGATTTCCTTAACATGGTCACAGTTCAGCCTTCTTATCCGACCTCTTTTTGATTCATTTAATCGTATGGTGTCCACAGCGAGTATGACAGATCTCAGGGAGACAGCTCTGGAATGGCTGGACCAACACTGCTCCCTGCCTGCCCTGAGGCCTAGTAAGTATATAGTAAATCAAAGATAACTTATCAGAGGTCATAGTACAAGGATATTTTCTTGATGGGAAATAACAGATGTACACTGAAAAGAATGTATGCAGAAACAGTTTTATATTATTCCTTTTAAATAAAATGACTATGGTAAGTAAAAATTATGTTTATTAATCACATAATAAAATGCATTTAAAATACATTATTGGACTTATTAAATGGCATAGATAAAGATCAGTGGTGCACCTATTTTCTTATGACAGCCAAGCAGAATTCAGCTTTCACCAGTTTAGTGTGGCCCAACTCATGTAATACAGTATATATGAATGTATTATATAAGCTCATACTACATACTGTATTTCTTTCAGTCTTCAGTTGTTATAATATAGATGCAGCCTGCAATTAGGAAAATAATTCATACTAATATATAATAATATAATAACTAGTTCTTTAGGGCCCCATGCACACTGGGTGTTTAGTCCCAACACATGAAGCTCTGGTGTTTAGGTGCATGAGAAGGGCACAGGTGCACCATCCAGCCCTGCTGCCAGCAGCCTGTCAATCTCTATGAGAAGCTGACATTTGCCGCTGCTGGAGGGTGCATCTAGCAGGATTAACATTTAGGGCAATATGCACCCAAGGATGAATGCCCAGAATGCAAGCAGTCTGTGTTCTGGACATTTTTCCCTGTGCTCATACTGCCTTAGATGCAAGTACCACTCAATGCACTGCTGATCTCCATCCAGCTGCAGCAGCTGTCAACCTGTCATAGACTTTGACAGGCAGCCAGCAGTGCAGCTGGTAGGTGAACCTGTGGCCGCCCACACTTAATGCCGGAGCCTTGTGCATTGGGACTCAATGCCCACTGTGCGTGGGGTCTAATAAATTAACCATTTTGGTATCAAATTAGTTAACACACAAGTCCAGGAAATGTTGCATTGTAACTTATTTTATTGCTAACTTTGCAACAGATTAGCTATGCTTTATGTTTTCATGTGAAGCCCAAGTCTTTTAATCTGTTATCACATGCATTGTATCCCATAGCCAGTGTCAGTTTATCCTCCTGATCATGGACAGCTTTCTTTACTGCTCTGTGACCGTTCCCTGCCAAGTTTCCTTACCCCCGCCCCTGTCTATCATCTGCCCTCTATCTACAAAAGGCTCTCCCACTTGCCAGCTCCTCCCTGCCTGATGAAAGAGCATGCCAGGCGACACTCGTCCTGTGCATACTCAGAAACGTGTCGCACATTAAAGACCTCAGACGCCAAACATGACCAACCTCGGACATTTTGGAGACTCTGCCAGGCTTCACCACCCATGCTACACATACACAGCACCATCTGCTGGTGGACCTAGGCTATCTCCTTCTGGTAAAGTCACCCAAACATCTGGCACAAGACGTTTTACCTCTCCACTACATGAGCCTGTTTTTAATTTCTAAGCTGTGAGTTATTACTTATCTCCTTATTAAATACTACTACAGTACACACTTAGAGGCGCTATGCTCCTTTGTAGCTATGCTTTAGGCCCTGTTCACATTATCACTTAGCGGAAACGAGCGATCCCGTTATGTGATTTTGACAGCTCAATTTTCATGCAATTAAGTGTGTCGTAGAGGGCAGCCTATGCGCATTTATCACCCAAAATGAAGCTCCTGCTCCTTTTCAGACAAAAAGCTTCATGCGGATTTTAAAAGTACAGTTTTTCCCATGATTGGTGCGCAATCCTGTTGCGCGACAATCACATCGCGTTTGGGGCTCCATTGAAGGATAATAGCACCCAATTGTGTGCTGTGTGTTGTGCTGTGATTGCTCCTTGACCTGTCCACGATTCCAAATTGTGAAGTGTGAATAGAGCCATAACCTCCCTGGAGCTATTCCTAAGTGTAGCTCGGGGTAAAGTTTCAGCACCACAAGCGGTAACCCCAAGCTACACTCGCAGCGTTGCTCCGGGATCTCTTCACTTGCCTTGTCCTTCGCTCCCGCGATGTCCCTCCTGCAATGTCCTCCGGCCGATGCCGACATCTGTCTACTGGGTTCCATTCCCTGCGACGTCAGGATGTACGGGGACAGAACGGTGGGAAATTTAAAAATGTGAAAAAGTGACATTCACTAAATACACTAAAATCACATAGTAAAACATTACTGTATCAAACCATTTCACATACATTTTGTCCCGAGTGCTTTGTCCTGTGCCCTGCCTGCATGTTTACTGTTCTTTCTGCCTGGAAACTGAGAAATGTCCATGGCGTCCAAAAAGCGTCCCTTTAGGTAAAAAGCGGTTTTAGACCAGCTAGAAAACAGCGATAGTAAATAAGAACTACTTGCAGATTTGAGTGATAATGATTCGTGGGGAAATTCGTCATCAGACACTGCAAGACTTTGCTCAGTGATGTGCGAACTTGGCGCTATATTTCAAATTTCAGTGTTTTTGGTTTGGTTATATTATTTAATTAAATTTATTATTATTATATTATTATTTTTTATGATTATTTATTAAATTATAATTTATCATTTTGTGTTTCAAATTTTAACATATCCGGGATGTTTACTAGACTCTTGTTCGGAAAGATTTCAGTGAGTTATTCCTAAAAATTACAGGCCTATAATAAAAAAAAAGACATATTTCCATGCAAAAAAATGTACCGCTTTGAGCACAGAAATACTGACATAGTCAGACCGCTAGGGAGGCTACTGCCCTTCTCCTCAGGCTGTTATGCTTACTCATTGGCTAATGTGAATTTCTAACGACCTGAAAGAAGTATGTACGTGGAACAACATTGGTGGTCTGCATCTTGGTTCAGGGTCAAAGCCAGAGGTTCAATATAATAGGCAGGCAACTAGCATTTTCAGAGCAATAGTAATTCCTATGTTTTTCTCATGACATGTTTATTTTAAAATGACATGAACATCTTCCTTAAATAATTAATTGTTCCCTTTTGTTTCACTTCAGCGGTGTTGAGCTCTTTATGTCAGCTTAGCACCTCAACATCCATTTTGACTGACCCATCCTTGATGCCAGAGCAGGCAGTACAAGCAGTCACCCAAGAGGAGAGCAGAAATAACTTCTACTAGAGCAGCCATACATCAGCCATCCAATCAGGATGTATACTGCTGTGGCCTTAATAGAGGACTCTGGGATATTCCTGACATAACCTAAAGCCTGAGTCACTAAGTGCCTGAGACCTGAAAATGCAATTCTGAGCTCTGTGAGCCAGTGTTTAGTGTTCCCTCATCTTCTTTATATACCCAGTGTTAACAATGTTCAGGATTTTCATGTCTTATGTATTTTCTTTTCATTCAGTTGTGGAATTGTGTATTCTCTGTAAACCTCATTTAAACGTTGACTGTGTATTATATATGGTTTTCAGAGTCATTATTTTACAACTAATGCTATTGCTATTATTTTTTAAAGTAGATCTATAAGTAAAAGTAAAATTGTTGTTAAATGAATTTGTTAATTTTGCAATGCATGATGATTTATATTATATTGCCAGCGTCTCCTAGATAATTACATTTAAAACAAACTCAGATTTGGATCAGGGTTACCAACCTTCCGAAATGAAATTTACTGACAAAGCCAATTTTTTTCTGACACAACACATAAAATTTACTAACAGATGCAACTTTTTTACTGACAGTTAAAAAAATGTGCCAAAATAATAATTTTTAGGGTAAATATCAATATTTATGCTACAAACAACATATAGCTAGTTCTATTAGCAATGTGCTTAAGGTATAACAAAATGCAAAAAACATATTTCTCCATTTACATGAAGGTCAGGTTAATATTACTCAGCACAGAGTTCCCCCCTGACATCAGAGTCTGCAGGGTTCCCCATTAAAGTGCAAGGAGGAACTCTGCAGACCCTGATGCAAAAGGGAACACTGTAGAATCTGATGTAAAGGAGAACTATGAGGACTCTGATGCAAGGGGGCATGCTGTGGACTCTGGTGTAAAGGGAAACTCTAATATAAGGAGGTTTCTGGTCACCAGAGCCCCCCTTACACAAGAGTGCAATCCACAGAGGTCCCCTTTACATCGCCGTCCACAGAGTTCCCCCTTACATCAGACTCCACAGAGTTCCACTTTACATCACAGTCCACAAAGTTCTCCCTTACATCAGAGTCCACAGAGTTACCCTTTACATCATTGTCCACAGGGTTCCCCCTTACAGTGTAAATAATAAAACAGAAACACACAGTAGGCACCTGCCTACAGGCTGAGAGGTGAACAACACCTTTTGTCTGGGACAACAAATGTTATAGACTGATGCTCTGGTCTCTTGTTTCAGAACAGTGAGGAAGGTATGTAGCAGCTCATATAATATAAGTTTATAATAAGATAAATAGCAATGCACAACGAGTAGGAACCCAAAACTATCAATTAGAATTCACTTTAAATTGTCTGATTTCTGTAAACGTGTATGTTTTTGAAGTTACTGTACTATGTAGTGCCTAAATAAATACACATGTACAGAAATAATATTAGGAAAGAGATAAAAAGGTCATCTTAAAGGAAAAGTGTTTCCAATAATTGCATATTTAGAGTCCTTAGACACACAGGGAGAAATTTACTAAAACTGGAACACTCAGAATCTGGGACAGCTGTGCTTGGTAGCCAATCACCTTCTAACTTCAGCTTGTTCAATTAAACTTTGGCAATAAACCTGGAAACAAACTAGTTTCTATGCAGAGCTGCACCATATTTTGCACTCTCCAACTTTAGTAAATCTCATCCACAGAGTCAGTCCTGCTCCCTCCTCACTGGCTGTGATTGACTGTCTCTGAGCCAATGAGGAGGAAGAGTGCTCTTGGGCACATCACTGAATCAGGATCGGGCCCGGGTAAGTATAAGATGGGCAGGGGGAGCTGCACTCAGAAGGTTTTTGCTTAGAATGTTATAAGGGGAAAAAAACAAAACTTCAGCCTTTCAAACCACTTTAATATTACAGTGTACCATTAAAGTGAATCTCTAGGCAAAACCTTTTTTCAATTTTGGATGGAGTGGGGAAAAATTAACCCTCTATCAAATTTTTAATGCTCTTTGTGTCTCCATCATGGGCATTATATAGCTCAGTCTTTCTTATCCAGGGTGCCCCAGGCAGCTGAGGTGCCTTGAGGTTTCTTCAGGGGTGCCTTGGCAAAATGTCGAAAAATTGCCCAAAACTAGTATACAAACCAGCGGGTGGAACAAGCCTGCCTAATAGTTACACAAAGCCGCAGGTTTTCATTGTACATCATTATGACCTCCTAGCCGCCAGCATCCTGACAACCAATGACATCATCAGTTGATAGGGAAAATATCAGCTGCCTGAACAGCATCCTAGTTTGACCCTCCCTTGCCCCTCTTCATCAGTGCTGGGGTCACATTAGCTCAGTGATGGAGAAAAACTGGAATACTACTCAGTACCAGTGTGCAAAAGTGTTTGCTTTGGAAGAATAAACCACCTCTAATGTTGGGTGTCCTATATGTGTGGATGTGGCTGTGTTATATAAAACTATTAGAATAGTTTTTCACATTTTAGAATGGGGTGCCATTTTAAAATTATGGACAGTCTAGAGGCACCCCATTTTAGGTTGCCTTGCCATAATTTTAAAGGGTGCCTTGACTGAAAAAGGTTGAGAAACACTGATATAGCTAGTTGTGTGGAACACAAGTCCACCTAACTTAACCAAAAGAAAAAAATGAATATGTAAATTGAAAACCTCTGTCTACAGAACTCTACACACACACACGATCCAGAGGAATGCAAAAAAAACCTTAAAGTAGAACTAGTTTGGATATAGTAATGGAGGGTTTATAACCCTTGTTAGTTTTTTGTTTACTTTTTTGGCTATCTGTGTCCCATTGAGGAGATATCCCTTCATTTCCTGTCCCATAACAAAAACAGGAAGTGAGAAGAAATCTCTGCAAATTAAGGTTCATTTGTGGAGCTTTGAATAGGCTGCCTTACTGACACCTTGAATCTCTCCTGAAAACTGAGATAAAGCTGGCCATAGATGGATCAAATCTCGGCTGGTTCAGCAGGGACGGGCTGAGATTCAATCCATCTATGGGCAGGCTGAAGGTACCTAAGCCATTGATCGACTTGGGTACAACCAGTCAGTCAGATTTTTTACATGTGATTACTGCCATCAGCTATATCCGTTAGCAGAAATCATTGTGTTCTGCTGGCCGGGAAGGCTCCCTACCAGCAGAATACAGTAGCTTCGCAGGAGGCATTACCCCATCACCACTGACAGTGTTGATGGGATAATCAAGCAATTTTCTTTCCTATTCCAGCAGTAGAAGGAAATACAATTGTATCATCTATGGAGGCCTAAGAAATCATTCACATAAGCTTTCTTTTGGATTAATTTATTTGAATAGTAAAAGTGCCCACTCAGCAATGGAGTAAATATAACTATGCTAAGCTTCACGTTGTGTACCCAATCCTTTGCAAGGACAGATGTTTCTGTGTACATGATTAGAATATTAACAAACACAGCTTCATCTTATTCACTAAGCTAAATGAACTTTGATTTTGCAAAGTAAGCATCAGGATTCATTTACTAAAAGAGTAATGCATGTTCACTTTGCAAATAAACTTTCACTTAGATTGGTGATTGAGGTGAAGCTGAGTGATAGTTCACTTTGTGAACAGTACCTAATCATGTGCAAGATAAAAAATGAAAAAAACTGGATTTTTGCTCACACAGCACTGAATGGTTGAAGTCACCATGCTTTAGCTTTGCCTCATTCACAATGCTAAGTGAAAATTCACCTTACAAAGTGAAAATGCTCTACTCCTCCTTTAATAAATGAACCCAACTGTCTACTACATAAAGCAGAGCCCCTTGTATAATTTTACTTACTTTTCAGGAACATCAGATACATTTTTATCCGGTTAACAAGTGGAATTTATTGGCTGTAATTTTAGAATAGAAATGGATAGTACACTCAATTAAAGGCTCAGGCCGGCCATACATGGGTCAATTTTCGACCTAAGAATAATCGGACAATTTTTGCTCTGTTAGTGGGGCAATAGCACCAGCCGATTTTTGTGGTTCCTCCTCATTTCATTTATTGGACATGTTGGAAAATTCGTGAAAAACTACCGATTTTCGAAATCATTGGTGGTACCATCGGATTACAGAATGAATGATGTTTTTGATTTTCATTCAAAAAATCATTCAGAATTCGACCCATGTATGACCTGCTTAAGTTCACCTGTACAGAAAAAAGAAAAGCTTGAACCCAAAAGAAGACGATATCAGCACCTGTGAAGGATTGAGGGGAGGTAAGTTTAGTTCCATGTTAAAGTGATCATTGCTATTCCAGGCATTATATCTAGGCAGGCTTTTATGGGTAAAGTTGATTTTTTAAATGGTTTCACAGCTGCTATCCAGGAATTGCTTGAGAGCTGGGACATAAAACATGAAAGCCCCGAGCTACCCACCATCATCCTTGGGGATTTCAACATCCTTGTCAACATCGACAACTCGGCCACATCCCAACTCCTCCACTTAACCTCCTCTATTGTACTCGCACAGTGCATACAATCCACCACCCACTCCGACGGGAATATCCTGGACCTTGTCTTCTCCCATCTCTCTGCGCTCCCCACAACCTCACAGACACCGCCGTCCCTCTCTCTGACCACAACCTTATTACCTTCTCTATCTCCTCGTCCTCTAACGCCTACCCCTCCAAATGTCATACTACTACCAGCCGTAACCTCCGCAACCTGAACCCTGCCCCCCTCCACTCTGCAGCTGATCAACTTTACGACAGCATCCTTCCCCTGTCCTGCCCCGACCTGGCCATGACTGCCTATAACAACTCACTGTTAACCGCCCTTGACTCGCTAGCGCCTTTAACCACACGAAACATCAGACCCCAACTGCTCCAGCCCTGGCAGACTGATCACACCAAAACTCTCAAACGGCGCTGTCGTGCGCTGGAGCGACTATGGCGCAAAACCAGATCCCAACTAGCCTTCACCCGCTATAAATCTGCCTTCCACACCTACACCTCCTCCCTCCACGCCGCCAAACAAGCCTACTTCCTGACCCTCATCAAGACCCTCTCC